AGTCTTAAGATTCCCAGTAGATTGTAAGGATCTCATACCCAATCCTAAGTTAATAACCTGCTCTTGTATTGCACAAACAAAGCCCTCGATTTCCCCGAAGAGTTCAAACGTAGCCAGTGGTGGGAGGCAAAGTGTCTACAAAAGGCTCATGAAGAGCCTTGTAGAACCTTCCGTGGAGCACCTTCTCCTTCCATGCGGTCCTCCGGTCGGAAATGCCCCGTACTGCTAGGCCGGCTTACCATTGTTCGTTGGCAAAGGATAGAGGGGTAAGCCCTTTATCACAAGAAATGACCACATCCACAGAATGGATCATCCGATCTCGCCTGAAAGTAATTACAGAGCCTGCACACTTCACGATTAAGCATGGTGAGAGCGCTTATAAAGTCGTGCCCACCTTGTTTCCGCGGCAATAATAGCCTCATTACTGACAAGCCCGGATGATGCATTTTATGGGATGTCATAAGAGTGCATACTTTTCTATCCAGAGTGTTCAGTTTGGTCTGAGTCCACCTGAGTATGCCAAAAATGTATACCACATTAGGTTAGGCATAACCTAACCATTATATGCTAGTGTCTTATTAACGCCGTACAAAAGACTGTTAAGCCCTTTTGTCAAGCGTGCACCAAACGCATCGCAAACTGACTGTTTCATGTCTACCTCATCGATGCCTTATCCGTTCCCAGCTTCATTGTGATGGAATTGCTAAACTCACAGGTGATATTTAGTAATTCCATAAGATAGGAGCAACTTTTTGAACCTCTTTTCCAAAGCTGAAATATCCTCCCGGAGCCCTTCGGTATGGTGCTGAGAGGGTTCAGGGAGAGGCAGAACTAGATTGGACTCAGACAATCAACCTGTAATATACAACACCTTCTTATCCTTATGCGGCTCTCCCCATCCGTCATTCGCTCACCCATATTACAAAAGATCGTACTCCACTACTCCATACACTGTTAGAGGAAGTCTCTTACTGTGCAGTCTACCTTGTACAGCTCGAGGACCCTTTTCAGCCATGTATGAGGCACCGAGTCGAATGCTTTATTATAGCGGCGGAGAAATTCAGATGGTTGCGTTTAACCACCTTGCCGATTACCACGTCAATGAGGAGTGGTTCCTTGGTTTCACAACCACTGCCCCGACATCCATTGTGAGTGCGCGACATCACCTTGATTTGAGTCTAGGTGACGAGTAATTCTCGCGCTCAAAATTGATGTTAGAGTCTTGTATATGGCAGGTAGACACGTTATAAGGCGGTATTTGCTTGTGTCTGTGGTATCCTAGTCTTTAGGAACCAAATGAGTGAACCCGTAGTAAAGAGGCTCAGGAGTGACTTCTAGTTGAGAGCCTCTTGAAACTATCGGGCGAGCACAGCGAGACACACCACGAACCCCTTCAGCCAGTAGTGATGCAATCCGTCGCGCCCCGGACTTTTCCAGTTCGGGACCCTCGGAACTACCTCAGCTACATCGTCGTTATGATGACGGGCTCCATGAGCGTAACATTCGTACAGTGATTCGCCACAACTTCTCGCTCTGGTTTACAGGCTCTGACCACAGGCCGCGCCAAAATGCGTCAGTGTCAGCCTGATTCAGTGCTGGGTCCTTTCCAATTATCATTGGCCGATCCAATTATTTATAGAGCCTCTTCTAATCACTCTGGAAGATTCAGATTGAACCGTGTCGGCCTCTCGGTATATCGCCGAATCTACTTCCCCCAAGCAACAATTCTTTGCTTCATGTCATCTATGCGCTCCGTCAGTTTTTGCGTTATATCCGGCTGAGATACGCTGATATTTGTCCCAACAAACGCCACCTTGTCGGTGCGCATAATCCTCAGCGTATTATTGACCGACCTGAAGCTTATCTGTGTCGATGAGAGCCCTTGTCTTTGCGATACGGTCCTTGGTCCTTCTTCTCCAGACTGGGATATCATTACTTTGCCCAGTAGCGCGTCCATGCGTGGGAATTTTGGCCCCAACAATGTAACAAACTGCCAAAGCAACGCCAAAGAGTACCGAGTACGTATCGCAAAGTTTTTAGTTGGTTTCCAAGTACATTTCCAGCAAAAGGTTCAGGACCTTTACGACATCCCGATTCCGCTTGCTTAGTGGTATGAGCGGGAGTCGATAGACGTTCAGCGTATTTGTGTTATTTTCTCCGCATTCTTTTAATACTTTTTATATAAATTTAATTATTTCCCCGCTCTCAATTTCTATGAACAATCAAATACATAATTAAGAAAGAGAGTGAGATGCAAGAGAAGTTGGTGAAATGAATACTTTTTGAACCATAATAATTTTCCGTCACAGATTTGAATAATGGTTACCGTCACAACCAATCAAAAGATTGCCTTATAGGATATTTATCAACGTTACCACGCTTGGCAAACACATTGCCAACTTTTTTTTTTTTTTTTTTGTTTTTTTGTAAAGAGCTATTAGATCCTCGTGAAGCTGGGAATACGTCTGTGATAAAATTATACATGAAAATCAGATCTATGTTGGTGAGGTTGATGTTTATGTGACTTTTATAATAAAAAAATGTACCCACTGTGTCACTTGCCTAGTATGCATGTAATAGCCTGAGATATTGCGTTTATGATTGTGTAAGTGAAGGACTATCTACCTACCACTTCTATAACAATTTTCTATCTAAACTCATATTTTTGATGTGTCCTTGGCAGTAATACTGATTCGTATGCCGTAACGCCAAACGCCATGATGACGCTAATGTCTACAAGCGGTTTATTTTCTACGGAACGAGATATATACATCCACGTGTTTTGACTCTTTTCTCTGTGGGTATAGCTTCTATTTTTTTATTTACTTTACTTTATACTTCTATAATGATTGATTAGAACTATTATACGTATTTTATAGCATTTAGTTTACTTGTTTCTAAATTCCCGACGTTTCGCGTGCTTTACAGCACCCATGGTCACGGGGGGACTGAGATGTTTAACGTACCAATGTCAAGTTAGCCCAATTTCATTAAGTTTTTAAATATGAATTGAAATTTTGTTAATTATATGATCCCAAGCAGATGGCCGCACTCATTAATCTTCTCCGTTGAAATTAGGATATTTTTTAATTTCAATAGCTTCACGTATCATTCTTGGTAGGAATCAATTCAATCAATTCTTTTGCGAGGATTTATGGTCTATAAAATCTTATGTAATGGTGGGGACGATCTTGAATATGTTCACCGACTGCAGACTTCCAAGAGTGTCGGTGCTTTATGAAGCGCTAAGAAATATCTTACTGAGCAGCATAATATTCAGATAATAAGTTAAGTTTTTAGTAGATGTTGATGAGGAGATGTAGAGTAGTGTCATATATTTTTATATCATATAAATGTTCGCTTAGCGACTGCTTCGTTAGTCTAGTGATCGTCAGTGGCACTACTGTCATCATCATCATGTCATCAGAATCATGTCATCGCATGTTCACATCCCATGTCAGGCCAAACCAGTTATTAGATTTTTTTCTCAAGAAGTTCAAAGTAGCAGACAGAAGTCAGAAGATTAGCAGTATTTTAGGCCTATGCCTCGGAAATCAGTACAGCTGTTGGTTCTGCGACTAATATTCTTCCGCTCACGGCGGATTACCATCCAATAAAGAGTGCACCTGTGATTGTGCTACTCATGCACTATAATATTATCCCGCGCTGAAGGTTCCTTTAAGATTGACCGCCGTGACCGCAATTCGTTCTAGAGGTCTGTTTATTAATCGACTTGAGCAAGCAGTCCGTTATTCTTTCCGCCAAAATAATAATAAAATGTTTCCACTCACAACTGCTACCAATTTCAACCAAAAAACTGCCTCATTTGCGTATAATATATGATACTGGCTCTACATGAGCTTCAAACCAGAACGTAATAGTCAATGATTTCAAAAGGAAGGATAGGCCCATCTTAATATTTCACTTGTAACTTTTTCATACAAGAAAAGTAGCGCATCTGTCATAATAGAAACGTCATATCAAAACACAACGTAACCAGGGTCGTATTTTGTAGTATAATTATCCGAATCGAAAATACCATAATTTTACCTAAAGGTCGACTTGTATTATTATTGGGTCCTTTAACATTTTAATTTTAACACTACGACATCGAGAATTTCTGTATTGTACATGAGTACCGCGTTTTTTTAATAAAATTAGAATTAGCTCCCTTTTTGGTCAATCGATGCTCAATCGATGCATTTATGTTGCATCCTTAATACAACTAACTATAATAAGGGGCTACCACGATAAAAACTCTATGCTCCAGAAGCAATCGGTTTGAAAACAGAATTTCAAAATATTTTATGAATCGGATTTTCAGATTTTTTTCTTAGTAGAGTTTTTTTTTTTTGTACTCTTTCTGTTTTACCCTTATGGAATATAAAATGGATTCGGTACCAATATTCAAACTTTAACTTACACATAGTTTTTTAGACAAAAATTAAACAGAAATAAGAATAAAACCGTCAAAGAAACGTATAGATAAACTAGACGCGTGACGCCAAAATCCCGGCACATGGGAAAAAAGAAACATGAAACGTCAAACGTGATATTTTTTTTAAATAGTATAATTTTATTTTCCATGTACAATATTTTTGAGGGTCTGAATCCAACCCTGGCCTAATCTTGGTAACGTAACTAAACTAACTGTAAAATAAAACTTTAAATATGCGTTGGTTATGGTTGTTTACCGTCGTATGATTATTTACCGATGATACAATATCCCATATTTTTTTTAAATCTTTGTATCGTAATTTTTTCATTTTTTAACACGCAACTAGACATATTTATGACAGGCAAATCTGTCCTGCGCGCGCACCACTGTCAACCGATTCGCGTTGGCCAGCATACTGGTTTTAGGTTTAGTTGTTCGGTCGGCCCGGTCCTTACGCTAGTAATATATAAGTCAATGGTAATAGTAAGTACATTACTGCTTATGAGAGAAGTGTTCAATAAAAAACAGTTACAAAACACATAATAAAAAAAATTATGAAGCATTAACCAAGGTTTTTAATCAGTTCTTTTAGGTATCTTATATCCTTCTTGTCATGAACTTCCTCGTCTTCATTTTCGACAGGCGGAGCGGTACGTGTAGCAGACGATCTTCCTGGCAACTCCAAAATAAAGGAGCGCACCTGTACAGATATAAGTTTAAGCACAAATCACAAAGTCGTGACGAGACGGTATAAGAGAATTTATCAACTTATTTCTTCCCGTGGGTGACGTAAGATGCGACTATGTAAATTCCAGAAAAATCTTCGGGTGCTGGACTAACCCACTCGCCAACCTGAAGTAAAATATCCAGAACGGTAATAGGAAGCGGCGTCAAAGTACAAGACGTATGGTACTGAAATCGTCAATCCACCTTCCAAGTAGAGAAATTAAAAAAAATCTTCCTACATTGAGAGAGGCTTATCCAGAGGGATTATCCAGCAATGGATAAACTGATGAAGAAGAAAGAAAAAAATAATGAAAACAATTAGCTACTGTTTTGTTTCGTATCGCTTAGTTAGGAAAACTGGAGATAATTAACTAGAAACTAGGTATTCCATCTTAGTCTTCAGAACTGATGATGCATTTACATTTTGATTCTTAATTGAGGACATATGTAGATGTCTATGTGTTATAATATCATCCAATTATCAGGTGATTTGTGTATTCGTTTATTACCCTTATTATATAAAAAAGAACTATATCAATTGTTATGATTATAGTTAGCCTTCTTTACAATGGAAGAGGCTGAGGAAGAAGAAGTCCAAACCTGTCCAACTTTTTCTAATATAATGTAGCCATATGGCTGCATTATGAATGAGTCGACCCAACCGGAGAAGGCTCACGCTTGCACAAAATATCAGTGTGGGATAACAGCATAATGCTTTTTCCTGGTAAAGAGGTATTCCAGTCCTAAAATGTAACGTAGAATCTGCCTTTTTATTCTTAGTCAACGATAGGTTTCACATACCATCAGGCAGACTTTTTATTCGTTTGTTACTCTTACATATACCTATTAAAAAAGATCACATATCTATTACTGACTGATAAATGATTGTGATGTTTAAATTTTATAATTGTTTAAGATCCATAAACGGGAGATTCATAGCATAGGAAGAAAGTCCTACTAAAGCTTTAAATAACAGGCATTCAAATATTTTAAGCAAGCCAAACTTCAAAAGTAAACAATTATTTTTTATTCTCACCTTCTGGTTGACGGCTCTAAAATTTTGCAACAATTTCAAAGCGGATCGTTTTTCAGTGGGATGAGAAATTTGGTACAGACGCACAGCTCGATGAAACTGTTAATAAAATTTAAATAAAAGTCTCGAGCATCTTCCTTCACTTCTTGCGAGTCTCTCACTGTTATTAGTGGTAGTCGTATATACTGAGATCAGTGCGAGGTTCAGATTAAAACTATCTTCCAGTAGAATCAGTTCATAAAGCTCAGTTTAAAAATAAGAAATAAAATTCATTAAGGGAATTATTTTATTTTATAATAACACGTTAATAAAATTTACAAACAGACGTGTTTAATTAAATGGCTTTTCTCCGTTGTACCTAAATTTTAAAATATTTGCCTGATTTTATGAACTGATTTACATAAAAAACTATTTTAGCTATGATTACAATCTACAAAGCTTTACAGAGATATAGTAGTCCTGGAAAAGTTGAAACTGACGGTAAGGGCAGTGACCATTACGAAGACAATGACTTTTACGACAAGGATTATGGTGATGACAATTTTAATGCCGATGCTGGCGATTTGATGATTAAGATGGCGATGACGACGATGACTTAAATGCAAAATTTCTTTTCATTTATGAATATAGGTAATCAGACAGAACAGATCTTTAAAAATAAAAATTATTACGTTCACTGTATTCTATTTTTGTTTCATGTATCAAAATTTTTATATTTATTTAGTTGCACCAACTATTGTAAATAAATCATGATATGATAAATATTGTAAATAAATATAAAAAAGTTTTTATAGATATTTATTTAAAGTGTTTAGTCAAATATCATAATTAAAAATATATATATAATTTGCATAATTTTATATGGTTACTGAAAAGAAAATGTAAAAATAAATTAAAGTGAAGTGAAATTAAAGTGACAGAATAAGTCCTCTATAATCATCTTTACTAAAATATGATTTAATGATAAAGTTTGAAGAACTTTAGGGAATAGGTGTATTTCCATCTTCATTAAAGATTTATACCAATTATTATGGAGGCTATTTTGTTATTTATAAATATCGTTGAAGTGCCATCAGAACCTATGATGGTAGTGTTTTTTAGTAATTTTATAGTTAAATTAATGTCACAAAATGTTTAAAAAAATGTATTTATTATTCGTCAAAATATTGGAATATAATGGCATATTATTTTTGTGACCTATTAAATATCCTTAAAATAATTATTGAAAGCTTGCGCAACACCTTTTGGAAACTTTATATTATATTTGATTATTTTAAAATCTTTATAACATTTTTTCCGTAATTATTAACAATTTAGCATTTTTTTGACTTATTAAATGATAAATTGATAAGGTAATTATTTTTAGCTTTTGTGTTACTGTAATATTTTTTATCTATTTTTATTTATTTTGTCGAAATTTTTACTTGAGTGACAGGAAAATAAGATTAAAGAACAATTTAAATTTATTAAAAAACTTATCAAATGTAGTTATGTACGAGAGCGGCACTGAAAATTTCGGGAATCAAGGAAGTGACACAACATTTCTATTTAAAAATGTATTTATTGCTTTGAAGTATTTCGGAAACATTTTTGAATATGAGTTCGGGGGGGTTTGTGCTAAGTTTGGTGATGAAATTTCATTTATTCTTTATTTTGGGGTTTATTAGTGTTGGATTAATAGTTCTTGTTCTTTTGTGATGGGCGGGGTGGACACCTGTGGCAAACAAATGCTAGCATACCATTCTGCATTAACCGTTCTTTGTCCCTCAAGAGGAATAGTCGTAACATGGCCGGTTTTGGAGATAAACGTGGCCACCATTTTTTTTTTTTTGCAACACTCCGTGAACGAACAATTTTTGTTGGCTTTAACTCGTTTTCGAACACCCAAACTCGTGACTGGTTTTTTGTTTCGGTTTCGTACGTGTATATCCAGGATTCGTCACCTGATACGATGTTGTATACAGCATTTGAGGATCCTGCGTGGAATCTTTCGAGAGTTCTGATGCACCAAGTAACGCGAGCCGCTTTTTGCTCTTCACAGAGCGAATGCTAGCTGTATCCATAGGGAAAACAACTTTTTTTACACCTAATTGTTCATGCAATATTATTTGTATTTGACTCATGCCAATGTCTAAAGTTGCCTAAATTTCGCGGTATGTCACATGGCGATCTTCCTCAATCAGCTTACGCACAGCATCAACGTTTTCTAGGGTGACTGCAGTTTTTGGACGACCTTGACGGGGATCATCACTGAGCTTGACACGTCCACGTTGAAATTCAGCAAATCAGCGATAAATTGTGGTTTTGGATGGGGATTCATCACCCAATGCAGTAATCATCCGGTCAACACACTGTTTTTGTGTTAAACCATTTCGAAAGTCATAATAAATCATCGCTCTTGAATTTTCTCGAGTTAATTCCGTTTTCTCAACGACTAAACAAGTTTGACAAAACCTTGTGACAAGACCGAGAATCTTTTTTTAAATAAGTAAATGGTATTCGATTGAAGAAGTTTTCAATTAAAAAGATTTTAATATGACAGGAACAGTGGAAATATTCCATTCCCGATACTTTTAGTGCAGCCTATGTATCTGTAATTCTAATTTTTTCTATGTAATATTTGTACAATATCGTGCATAACTCACAAATGAAAATAAATTTGAATCCTCGTCGTCATCAGCATCGCCATCATAGACATCATTATTGTCAAGGAGAGGTTCATTAGCATCAACATTGTAAGGAAATAATAGTTTTATTCAAAATTAAAATTAATTTTGACTTTAAGTTTTTGTATTTTCTTTATTATGGTACTATATACCATAGAATGTAAATAAATAAAATTCCACCATCTTAGTCCCTACTTACTCTTTCCAACAAACACCAAGTGTCCCTGTATTGCTGTAGAAACACCAGAGGTGTCAGAATAGAGGCGTAGAGGGCTGCTTCTCGGTCCAACAGATCCTCGCCCTCAGACATGCCGTGTACCGTCGCTCGATATTTGTGCAGAAACGCCGTATTTGCATGGTCCTTGTCAAAGCTGGAATTTATTCATTATACATTGACTGTTTCTATTTTTTTTTAAATAGCCCACTGCTGAACACACGCCTGTCGATAACCTCATAAGGGGAATATCTGTACAGTTACCACACTTGGCAGGCGGGTTTGACAATCGCAGTTATCAGGAAGATGCTGCTCTTCATTTCCTATTTATGAGTTACGACTCGTAATTTCTTTCTGTTGCATGTTACGTCACCCAAAGGACGATATGGAATTGTGGAATTCTGTATGTTAATATAGAATTCTTATTTATATTATCCTGTGCAGTTAACAACTTTTGACCTCTGAGTTTTCTGTCTAGGAGTCCATCTGGATTAGTATCATCTTCTAACCTATTCTTGCCGGCAAGCACCCATCGCTGTGTTCCTGTTAATGTAGTGGCCACTGCAGTCTACTGCAATCATAATTCAATGTTTGTACTATAACAACCGTATAAAAGAACCGTGATAGCTCAGATGGTTAACGCTCGCTGTAAATATAACAGAATGCGAGTAACCCGGGTTCGACCCGCGCCGTTTGTTAATTTAAAGTAAGCCGTAAGTTAATTGTTAATTGCAATTTTAAGTGCTGATTTACTACGTGCTCCGCGGTGAAGGAAAACATCGCGAGGAAACCTGCATGTCTGAGGAATAAGAAAAAAAATATTTCGAAGACATGTGAAGTTCGCCAACACGCGTTGGGGTAGTGAAGCGGACACTTCCTTGCCCTAAAAATCCTCTAGAAATTAGGGAAGGCCTGTGCCCAGCAGTAGGACGTATATATAGGCTGTTACATTTACTATAACAACAGCCAGTTGTATATTGCATCACATTGCACGAGAATGTTCCCGAAGAAAAAAGTCAATGTCCTCTGTCAAGTTAATTGAATTGATGATTACTTTAATTGATGCAAGCTAAACGCGACCTTATGTCTACGGAAAAAAGCCTTATCTCTTGTCGACATATTGCTAACTGCGAGTATTCTAGTATTTTCCTATTGAAAGAGTTTAACTCTTATTTGAATGACCCGGATTGACCTAGAATGTTCTACATTTCTCTTAATAGATATAAAAGCGTACTCGATCGGAGAATAATAAATAATTATTTCTAGTAAACTGCTCCGGGAAGACACTACGAGTAATCGACGTTTGACATCTGCGATTATTAAGGACCTCACCGAATAAGCTTAACAATTTTGGACGATATTAGTGTATACTTGCTGTATATGTGTTTGTTGTCCATACATACATTCATTTCTTATCCTAAGCGGCATTTTACTCAACCCGTACGTAACAATACTTATAACTATATACACTGTCAATACTCACTACGGTAGGATAGCGTAAACACGCCTCACTGTATCTCTGGGCATAGGTTTGATGCGAATGCAGGCTTCCCCAACGTCATCTTGCCTCTTCGTTAGCTTATAAGTGAGCTTCTCACCAGAAGGCTGATCACGTTCCACTGGCACCAATTCCACAGAGTCAGATGTTGACTTAAAGAAAGTAATAAGCATATAAAAATAGCTAAAAACCATTATCATATCTATGTATCTACTTATAAACGTAATTATTTGTGTATCACATATTTGTACTATAATATCCGATTTTTTACAGAACATCGATGATTAACGAGCACACAGTCCACCTGATGGCAAATGGATGCTGTGGCCCATAGAAATAACATCTTATAAAATGTCCCGTATCGAGTAAAATAGGGTCTCCAGTCCTTTACATTCACCATAAGAAACACAACAGAATTAACTCTCTCCTATATTTTACGCTATTATTCTATAAGTGCGTGGTCCTTTCACCATAATATAGCTACAGCGTGGATCTATTACATCATCATTCATTATTATCATCGTCATTAATTTATTCATTCATTCATCTATTCATTACAAACTATCAAAAGCATGCCCAACTTTGCGCATGAGTACACTGGGCAAGTCCCCAGAGCCCCACGATTCATGGGGCACCTCAGGTCCTACTCCTATTTCTATTGCCTATCGTTAATAAGCCTTATAACTGATATAGGGGCCCCATTTATCCTAAACTGCCCAAAGCGCCCAACAATACGGCTCTGTTCAAAAGTTTACCGCTAATTGCACTATAGGGGATTTTCCCTAGTTACACCATAATCCATAATAAGGTACTTAATTGTGCGCAAGTCAATTTTAATGTGTTAAGCTTATTACGTTCTCAGAAGAAAACGTTGCATGAAAATAACGCATGAATAAGGTACTCGTAATGTAAATGCCGAACTTCAATCCTACAGTCTTAAGATTGACACAACACATTACCGATGCGAAAGCACCGACTTATCACTGACCAATCCGCTTGTCCAACATAATAAGAAGGTATTTCCCTATTTCTTCTTCAAATTCAAACGTATTTTTGAAAAGGCTTATGTCCAAAACTTAAAAAGGCTACCAATGCTAATGTATTTTTAATAATAAATATCCTATACCTTTAAACGAGCAATTCTTGTATATATATATATATATATATATATATATATATATATATATATATATATATATTTTTATATACTCGCGGAATCTCGGAAACGGCTCCAACGATTTTCATAAAATTTAGTGTGCCGGGAGTTTCGGGGGCAATAAATCGATCTAGCTGGGATTTATTTTTAGAAAATGTCTTTTTGTCCGGTTTTTAGGTAATGAAAAACTGCTACAATATCGTTAGAATAAGAAGGTAAATTTTGACAGTTCAATTAATGATTACAAATAGCTTAATTGGTATATTGGAGGCGGTCGCGGAATAATACCATGGTTCGAGCCCAGACCGACCGACCGACTTTTTCTAATTTTTTTTTCAAGTTCCTTTCTGTTTTGAGAAAATCTATTTTTTCGAGCCCTTTTTCAGTATTTTTTAAAAAAACGAAAATTTAAATTAAACTAATTTCACTCATGATTTTTTATAAAAATAACCAATTAAGTTTTTTCTATTATGTCGCTAAGATCAAAAAATATTATTCGTATTTCATCAGCATGTGATTTGTATTTAAATAAAATTTCCAAAACACACGAATTAAAAAAAAACCGAGCCAAAAATACCGAGCAAAGCTCGGTCAACCGAGTACTGTTAATTAAATATGCATTTTCAATCAGAAAGATATTTCTTTGATTGTATACACTTAAGTATTATTGAATTAGCTGTAGACCGTGAAGTGACGGCGTAAGCATATCTACTATCCGATATGGACGATATGAAACAAGAGATGGCCAACAGTATCTGCCTGATAACTCAATATAAAAAGCTGTAGTTGCCAATCAAGCTGTCAAGCATGGCAATTATGGAAAATTTTACCTGAATATGGGGAGGCCTATGTTTGGTAGTGGCCTTATGATAGACTGTAATGAATGAAATAGCTGGTTGGTAAATACTTAGGGCTAACGTTCATATGTAATTTATAGACTGCGTACTTACCACATAGACTAAACAAAGCAATAAAACATATGTTCGAAACCCCATAGCAGTAATTTTATTTCAGTCATGATATTCCTATTTCAAAGTAATCATTTGATGCAGCTAGAAATCTACGAAATATAAAAAAAATACCAACAAGTAAATAAATCACATTAGAAATATTTTCTGAAAGAAGGCTACTTTCTGTCAATTTTCATTGATCACAAACTAACCACAAACTACAATAAGAAGTTCGATCACTGACTTTACAGGATAACAGATAGCTAATTGCTATTACAATTATACTTTTTTATTATTTTTGTTTCATCTCATACAGTTAGTCCATTATTTATTTATTTATGCTTTATTTTCACAGCAAGTACAAAAAGGCGGACTTAATGCAACAAGGCGTTCTCTACCAGTCTACCTCCAGGCTAAACAGAAGATACGAGTATGGTAGATCCAAAGTGCAAACACACGTTAAAAATAAATATGTCTACATTATATAATATGCATAACAATAGCCATAACTCCATACTGAGATACGTAAAACATTATTACACAAAGATATTATATAGATATACATACAATGTATATAAATATATACATATATTAACTTTATACTACCGATATATTATACATACATACATAGTTAAATAAAGCATTATGTTATATACCTTTCAAATTATGTAGTTAATTAACAAATGCATTTTAAACTTGAGGATTAAGAAGAGATTAACAATGAGGCGGTCTGTATGCGTATAATAGCGTGAAATCGTGAGTACGTGCAGACATGCCCGAAATGCTGCAAAATTGTCAACCCCCCAATTGCTCTCACATCTACACACACACACTACAAATAAATCTCTACATTTAGCTTAGTCAGGCTTATACAATAAGACTGGAAGAAGACGTTAAGGACACGAGAATCATCAATATCAACACACCTAAACCCAAACCACCAAATTCAAACTCAATACAGATTTACGTATTCCCCCACTTTGAATCTCCTTCTTCTTCTTTGAGTGCCATCTTCTTTCGAAGGTCGGCGATAATTAAGGCAACTTGGATCTTTGATGCCGCGGCTCTGAATAAGGAACGGGTGCTCTTTCCAAACCATTGGCGTAGGTTTTTCAGCCAAGATGTTCTTTTTCGACCCACACTTCGTTTTCCTTGGATCTTGCCCTGTTTGAATCTCCCGCTGACTGTAATATTTACGGTTGAAGACCCTACGTATTACAATACTACCCTGCTATATAGTATAGTATCTTACTATATATGGGGTCCGTATAGTTCTAATAAAATTGCTATATTTAAATAAAGACTGACTATGAGATGAGGTTAGTAAATGGCAGGAAAAGGCAAAAAAATCCCTTCACAAATGTAATAAAGTTAAAAGTTAAAGTTACAGTCTATATACGTCCCACAGCTGGGCACAGGCCTCCCACTCTATCACTTCTGAGAGGGTCTTAGGGCAAGAAAGTGTAAGAAAAAAAGTGAATTTTTTTCTGTATGTAATAATGTTTATTTGTACACCATACAAAGTACTTAAACAATAAACTGACGCTCACAATGGGAGAACCTGCGCTATAAATTTCTTGAATTGTAAAATACTTCATTTTTCCGCCATGTTTTAACAGTTAATAACCTCGAAAATATTAATTATTACATTCATAATCCATTCAATACAGCCTTGTGGACATAAAAAGTTTGCAACCGTAGTCATATTTTGACGGCTCCGTGGCGCAGTGACATAGCAATGGCGGCCGCGGGTTCGAATCCCGCACGGCAACACTATTTGTATTTGTTTTTCCGTTTCCGTGGAGTTACGTTTAAAAAAAAGAAAAATGTTTTAGTTCTAGTCTTTGTTACTAGCGACCTCACCTCCCATCTTATTACGTAGGTAGTAAAAATACCAAAATTCTACAAAATTATATATAAACAGCCGTGAAAGAGCCGTGGTAGCTCAGATGGTTAGCGCTCGCTGTAAATTACACAATACGCGAGCAAACCGGGTTCGGTCCCTGCCGGCACCAATGAAATTGTTAATTGCAATTTTAAGTGCTGATTTACCACGTGCTCGGTCGTGAAGGAAAACATCGTGAGGAAACCTGCATGTCTGAGAAATAAGAAAAAAAATATTTCGAAGACGTGTGAAGTTCGCCAACACGCACTGGGGCAGCGCGGCGGACACTTCCTTGCCCTAAAACCTGCCCTAAGGCCTGTCCTAAGGCCTGTGCCCAGTAGTGGGACGTATATAAGCTGTAACTTTTCTTTTAACTTTTATATATAAACAGCAAAACAAATATTTTTTTATGAATTCGAAACTACAACAAAAAAAGAATAAACATCAACTAAGGTGTTTCTGCTTTTCGTCCAGTGGATGTCTAAAGGTGACTATTGGAACTTACAGAAGAATGTCTTATCCAAACCAGCGGCATCGTCGAAGGTTACTACGATCATGAATCCGCTCGTCAAACGCGAAAATTACGGAGAATCCTCCTTACAGCGTTACAGGCCCTCCAGGAGTAGAACTTTACAGGTCGATGGTTTTTTTATAAACTAAGTACTTACTCCTTTTCGGAATTTATCTGTCGCCTGCAGTGCGTGCACTGCTGTGTTCCGTTCAGAAGGGTATTGATATCTACATCTACACTAATATTATAAAGAGGAGAGATTTGTTTCTTTGAATTGGATAGGCTCCGAAACTACTGGACCGATTTGAAAAATTCTTTCACATTTGGAATCCTACATTATGCCTGATGAACATAGGCTATAGTATATTTTCAAAAAAGTTAAAGATCCGTATAAAAACTTTGTTAATTTAACCCACGGTGTGGAAAATACCAAAAAATTATACCGGGCGAAGTGATATGCTACAGTTTTATAGAAGATATCAATATCTACGAAAAAGTCTGCGATAACATGTGTCTAACTATTACATTTATGTCACATAATAAATTTCACGCGGACGAAGTCGCGGGGAACAGCTAGGCCAGTATAATTAGAGGCTGGGAGGTATTTCATTTTAGTCCTCAAGGATGACAACGCATCTGTATCTAGGCTGCTTTGTTTAAAATGGATTGCAGGTGTCTTATAGCTGCTTACCATTTGGTGGACTGTACGTTTGTATGTCACTTAAATTTCCAAAAAAAAACACTGGAGATCGTAAAATAAGGAAATACATAAAACACACATCAAATCTAAAACATTTAATATTAATACAAAAATCATTATAAAACAGCAAATACAATAGTCAAAACGTTCAAAAGTCCCGCCAATTTAGCTGCATTACATTTTTTCGCAACAGCTTCTGTTTCTTCTAGAATATCCGCTTGCCGCGCCTGCTCCATTAAAGGAGTGCTGGAGTAATCTGACTCTAAAGTTAGATTATCTTGCTGCACTTGGTGGTCCTGAAGCTAAATAATTTACACATCAGACCCCATTTACAGTAGAGTTAAAAAGCGTTACGTTTAAACCGTTCGTACTTGGCAAGACGATAACTTAGTTTTTATACGTGGTAGAGCCATGCTGCAGTTATATTAGTATTACAGCTGTTGTAGTATGAATGGGTCGGCTCGACTGGGGAAGCACCACGATCTCACAGAAAACCAGCGTAAAATGGTAGTTTAATGCTACTGTGTTTCGTATGGTGAGAGAACAGGAGACCCTTTTTACTGGAAACGAGGCATTCCATCTTAGTCCTCAGAGGTGGCAACGCATCTGCATTAAGTACTAGAGGATAGATGTAGATATCTATGGGCCACAGCATCCACTTACCATCAGGTGAACTGTGTGCTCGTTTGTCACTCTATCCTATAAAAAAACTGGTCACCGTGGAGTGCATGATTATAATAATAAAAACCCTTATACCGAATTTCGGTCACGGCAGCTAGCCTCAAAGGAAACTAGCCAATTTCGCAGCAACTCTTACTCTCACTTTCAAAGTCCGATAGGACAGTAATGCTACACGACTAGATAGAAATCAAGCGCAGAAACAATAACTTTACGTGCTTTCCGAGGCACGTGTGTGTAATAACACCATCTTATAATATCTTACTAATATCTTCACAGAAAAACAGTTAGGTAAGTAATTTGGCTCGACCTGAGATTCGAACCCGGGACTACTTGATCGACAGTCGCCCAACCTCTAGACCAACGAAGCAGTCAACAACAAAAACAACTAGGAGTGTTGTATGATTTCATCTATGATTGCCCACTTACTTCATTAAAACGTTGAAAAACTTTCGTACTAATGAAGTCTTTATCATTATTCGTATAATGCATCGCGAGTCGAAATAGCTAGAAGTGGCAAAGCGGCCGGCATTATAACTCGAAGACAACCGATGGGGAAGAAAGAAAGATTCTCGAGTGTAACCTCGTACCGGTAAGAGGAGTTGGGGCGGCGTGATAAGACATGAGTACCTTGTTTTGTAGCATTACTTGGGGGAGGCCTGTGTTCAAAGATGAACTTGTAAGGGCGTGTAATATCATTGATGAATGATATTACTGCGTCGCGATTTCAGGTATTACATACATTATACCCAAAGGAATAATTTGTGCAAAACCAAAAAGTGTAGATGTCGGGAAAAGAACGAATCCAGCACAGGACAAGTATTTCTATGCCCTAAAAATAATAATTGTTCTGGATCTGTATGATTGTGCTTGTGAAAAGTATGTACGTAAAGTGCCTCCACGATATAGAAGTGAAGGTAATGTTTTTAAAAAAGGACGTGTTTAAATTGCCCAATGTTGTGTACGTATTAGAGCCATGCTGGAGCTATATTATAGTAGCTGCAGCAAAAATGGGTCGGCTCGACCGGGAAAGGACCACGCTCTCACAGAATACCAGCGTAAAATCACTGTAGTAGTAACTGTAGTCCTTATGGGTGATACGCTTCCGCATTTTGATTCTTATTTGAGGATAAGTTTCTATGGGCCACAGCATTCACTTACTACGATCAGGCAAACTTTGTGCTCTTTAGTAAGCCTTATTCTATAAAATAAAAAATAAAAATATCTGTTGTCAAGGAAGCGCTCTATGTAATATTTTTGAAAGATTTGCCCATACTAATAATACCAGAGTCTACAAGAGTCGGAAGCTTCCTAAACTATCTTGCATCCATGCTAACTAGCGTGGGATTTACCTACAGTAAGAATAGAGAAATTCGGGAAATTACGACACATCTTCTCGTCAGGTATACCTCAATCTCTGAAAACTAGATTGTACAACCAATGCATGTTGCCAGTGATGACTTACGGAGGCGTGGTCATCTGAGACGTGGTTCTTCACTGCTGGCCGTTTGGGACGCTCAAGGTCGCTCAGCGAGCTATGGAGAGGGCTATGCTCGGAGTTTCTCTGCGTGATAAACTCAGAAATGAGGATATCTGTAGAACCAGATTGTTCGACATAGCCCAATGGATTAGTAAGCTGAAGTGGCAATGGGCCGGCCGTATAGCTCGAAGAACCGATAACCGATGGGGAAGAAAGGTTCTCGAGTGGCAGCCTCGTTTCGATAGGCGTAGTATAGGGCGACCCCCCACTAGATGGAGTGACGACCTGGTAAGATATGCAGGAAGTCGATGGATGCAGGTGGCTCAGGACCGTGCTTTGTGGCATTACTTGAAGGGCTGTAATGATGATGATGATGATGATGATGAAGAATAGAGAAAATAACGCGATATTTAGTACCACAGAGGCATCACGTTTTCTCGCCGAAACCATGCTCAACTTCATGACACACACTTACGCACGCATTTTCTTCTTCAGCCATACACAATACACACATATGCAACTAAAACTAGGTTGTTGCATGCAAATTATTTTAGATACACAAGTTTGCATGAGTGCGCATTCTAACATAAGTTGAGCACTGTTTGGCTTGGCTTCTGCGTTACTTGAAAGTGTTCACAACGCTCCGTCTATTTTTCTTTTTTCTTCAGAGGTTAAAACGTAAACAGTTTAATATGCCAGTGTTATTTACATCAGGCCAAGATATAGAATGGTAACTTGCACCCCCATTTTAAGATCGCTTGTTTCAATACAGTTTTGTAGCCAAATTTTTATCATAAGCATGTGAATATCTAGTGGATGCAGGCTTACCTCTTATAGGGGATTTAGAATACAGGACCTTTCGTATAATATTCCACTATATGCAACAATATTCTTTTGATAAAATTAATGTGTGTATAACGCACTCACTAAACCACCTATCTAAACTAAATTCCTCACCATATCCACGTCCCTCGACCGATGCAGTTTCTCGCGTGCATCAACAGTCTCAGTCTGAGAAGTGCGCTTGGGCTGTAAATTTCGAATTAATAGAGATAAAAAATAACAAGGTTCTATCATTTGATAGATATTATTACTATAAGGTAAGCCTATGTACGTCCACATATTGGGTATAAGCCTCCTATCACTTATGAGTGAGAGGTTCAAGCAACAGTTACTGATTCCAGAAATTCTAGTGCGTGTTGCCGGATTTCACGTCTTCAAAACATTTTATTTCTCAGACAAGCTGTTTTGCTTACATTTTGTGTCACTGTTAAATATGAGGCCTCTATAATATCTCTCCATTGGCCTGGGAATACGAGTTTGTCAAATATTAGTGAAGAAATTGTATGTGGTTTTGTTGCTTTAACTGATACACACATCAGTTAAATTAACAAAACCACATACAATTTGCAAATTAAAATTTTAATTAATTTACTTTAATTATTTTATGGTCGAATTTTCTGAAGAAAAGTTGTTTCTTTACGTTTGAATTCTGATTCTGATAACAAACTTAACGGGCACCATGGGGTTTTTAAGCTACTGCATAGCTTCTATCGCGGGCCTTGAGCGCGGGGACCGAATCCAGAAATTCCGTAACGAAAAAAACCTCACGCTCCCCACTCCGACGGGCACGGAGGTGTGGCGTTGAAAGCCGTGCATCGTCTAACGTCGTTTTAGTTCGGCAGACTTCGGCACTCGGCAGACTTCGGCACTCGGCAGACTTCGGCACGGTGTTTGTGTGCGTGTACACTAGCTGCTAACTCAATGATAAAAATTCCTGAATAACCTACATGTATTGTAAGATATTAAAAATAAACAATATTAACTTCTCATTTATTCAATAAGAGAAAAAAATTGTTTTCTTATCGGTCACCACGCTCAAAAAGTGTAACTTGATTTAATATCAAAGACTTAACTACATAAATAAAATAAATAAATAATTATAATTGCATAAGTTGATAAAAAATGCTATGCAATAGCTTTACCGCGGCAGTCACCGAGTGCCACACGTATTTATTTGTTACACGATGTATATTTTGTACTGTGTTTCCTTTCACTAATTTAGCTCTTATCTCGTCTAAAATAAGGGTGTTACCGATCGATACCATTGATCGCTTTAGCTGCGACGGATACGGGTCGATTAAATGTCGTTTGATCATTGATCGATGTCGATCGACAGTTAATCGATGTGGTAGTGGGTACATAATCAATATCTTTCAAAATGTATTCAGAAGAGGATGCGTTATTATTGGTCAGGACCCTCTTACTCATATTATTATTACGGAAATGAAAACTCAGAAGAATCTATACGCGACCGTTTTTAAGGCCGAATATAACTTAAATTTATTTTAAATAGATGTCGGTAGAGCGGGGCGGATATTCGAATAATTAAGAAGCTCGATCGACGTCGACTAATCCATTTTACCATCGATTGGTTAGTGTGGTAGAAACTATTGATCGACGTCGACTAATCCACTCCACCACGATCGACTGGTGTGGTAAGGGGCCATTCATTAATTATGTAAGGATGGGTATGGCGATTTTATCCCCCCCCCCCCACCTCATGTAAGGGTACATAAGATTTATCGACCCTCTTCTTACATAAAATTTATCATTTTTATTTGATTGTTAATTTCGGGAAGAATGTACTTTAATTATTATTCGTAACATTTAAAATGGATAAAAATGAACTCATTTAAAGTTTTAAAATTTTAATAAATATTAAAAACAATTAAAATAAGATGTAAATTGAAGTGCAGTCGTACATAAAAAGTAGAATGAAGAAAACCATTCAGCATCCGAAAAGGAAATAGATGTCTAATATTAACTTTGACTTATAAAATATTATGTAAGAATGATGTTACCCTCTATTACCCCCTCAAGATAGGCATGTAGGATTTTTTGAACCCTCAGCCGTGGTAGCTCAGATGTTTAGCGCTCGATGTAAAATTTCACAGTACGAGCAACCCGGGTTCGATCCTCGCACCAATGAAATTGTTAATTGCAATTTTAAGTGCTCATTTACCATGTGCTCGGCGATGAAGAAAAACATCGTGAGGAAACCTGCATGTCTGAGAAATAAAAAAATATTTCGAAGACTTGTGAAGTCCGCCAAAACGCATTGGCGCAGCGCGGCGGACACTTTTGCCCTGAAACCCTCTCAAAAATGAATGGAGGTTGTGCCCATCACTGGGAGTGGGATGTATATAGACTGTAACTTTAACGTAATTAGTACTATATTATATAATCTGTGCTACAGCTACTACAACCATTTTTCATTACTTTCTTAAGCTAAGTCTTTATAGGCCCTACTGTTAAAACGTATCGTACCTTAGCTGTTTTTGTTTTCTTTTGAATCATATTAAGGGGTGTCACATTTTGGATAAACTCCTCCATGATAAATCGAGCTCGAGCTATCACCGGTTCTAAAACGCGCAAGTGTTGCGCTATGTCCACAGTCTTCGTCGAAATAAGATATTTGTTTACCTGAAACATAGTAAACTGTCAAGTACGCACTTTTGCGTTTGACTACCTCGTCGTTCAGTGGTCTTAAGTGCGCCTGCTGTGTTCCTAGATTAGAAGCTAGGTCCAGGTTGACCAAATATCAGTTATTGGTTTTTCTGTCAAGAAATTCTTAGTAACTGTCCGGAGTCGAAAAGTTGATCTCGTGCCTTGGAAAACACGTGTTCTCTACTGTACTGTACTGTCCCGTCCTGTTCCGTCCTGGCCCATCCTGTACCGTTCTGTCTCTTATCCTGTACTGTCCGTCTGAGTAACCTATTAACATACACGCGCTGCCCCCTTCCCTGCCCAACAAGGCTGGAGTGTAAATGTGTCATAAGAGTATAGATCATCATCATCATCATCATTACAGCCCTTCACAAGTCCACTGCTGAACATAGGCCTCCCCCAAGTAATGCCACAAAGCACGGTCGTTGGTGGTGTAGTGGGTTTTGGAGGAATGCATGGCTCTGGAAATATCCTCATACATTTCCTCCACCTCCTCATCGGGATATGCCGAGGTTGGTGCGTAAACCTGTATGACCTTCAGCGAATACCGTTTGGTGATTCTGAGTATCAGGTACGCGACCCTCGTCGACACACTCCCAATCTTTACAACGTTGTTGACGAGAGACTTGTGGACGATAAATCCGACACCTCCTTGGGACAGATGTACGCCCTCCCGGTGATAGAACAAGTTGCCGGACTCGAAGATTGCCGTGTCCTCCCCCTCTCTTTGGACCTTGGACAATCCAATAATATGCCAGCGCAACTTGTCTACCTCTTCTTCCAGCTCCAGTATCTTCTCGTCAGTCCTCAGGGTGCGTGCGTTATATGTTGCCAGGTCGAGTCGTCGTAGGTGGCAACCGAACCTCCACCGGAGATTCTTAGCATCTCCTGCCTCGCCGTTACCATGGTCGCCACCGTAGCCAGGAATAGCGGGGCCGCCGGGGACTGGGGGCCGTTTTTTGCGTCGTTATTCATGGGGGGATATTTGCCATAGTTGCCACACTTGGCGAGCGGGTTGGCAACCGCAGTTTTTTATTATATCACAGTTGTTATCAGGAAGAAGCTGCTGCCCATCTCCTGCCTGTCTCCCTCTGTCGCCTCTTACGACACCACGGGAAGATATGGGGTAGTGGATATTGTCAACCGCCACTACACGGCTAGAGCATAGATATAGAGAATTATTTTATTAGTAATGAAGGCTATTTAAATACACGCGCTGCCCACTTCCCTGCCCAACAAGGCTGAGTGTAAATGTGTCATAAGAGTATAGAGAATTATTTTATTAGTAATGAAGGCTATTTAAATACACGCGCTGCCCACTTCCCTGCCCAACAAGGCTGAGTGTAAATGTGTCATAAGAGTATAGAGAATTATTTTATTAGTAATGAAGGCTATTTAAATACATGCGCTGTCCACTTCCCTGCCCAACAAGGCTGAGTGTAAATGTGTCATAATAGTATAGAGAATTATTTTATTAGTAATGAAGGCTATTTAAATACACGCGCTGCACACTTCACTGCCCAACAAGGCTGAGTGTATGCATAATAGTATAGAGAATTATTTTATTAGTAATGAAGGCTATTTAAATACACGCGCTGCCCACTTCCCTGCCCAACAAGGCTGAGTGTATGATAAGAGTATAGAGAATTATTTTATTAGTAATGAAGGCTATTTAAATCCACGCGCTGCCCACTTCCCTGCCCAACAAGGCTGAGTGTAAATGTGTCATAATAGTATAGAGAATTATTTTATTAGTAATGAAGGCTATTTAAATACACGTGCTGCCTACTTCCCTGCCCAACAAGGCTGAGTGTAAATGTGTCATAAGAGTATAGAGAATTATTTTATTAGTAATGAAGGCTATTTAAATACATGCGCTGTCCACTTCCCTGCCCAACAAGGCTGAGTGTAAATGTGTGATAAGAGTATAGAGAAATATTTTATTAGTAATGAAAGCTATTTAAATACACGTGCTGCCTACTTCCCTGCCCAACAAGGCTGAGTGTAAATGTGTGATAAGAGTATAGAGAATTATTTTATTAGTAATGAAGGCTATTTAAATACACGCGCTGCCCACTTCCCTGCCCAACAAGGCTGAGTGTAAGTGTGTGATAAGAGTATATAGAATTATTTTATTAGTAATGAAAGGCTATTTAACACACGTGCTGCGCACTTCCCTGCCCAACAAGGCTGAGTGTAAATGTGTCATAAGAGTATAGAGAATTATTTTATTAGTAATGAAAGCTATTTAAATACACGTGCTGCCTACTTCCCTGCCCAACAAGGCTAATTGTAAATGTGTCATAAGAGTATAGAGAATTATTTTATTAGTAGTGAAGGCATTTCATCTTAGTTATCAGGGTGGTCAGTACCTGTTCATTTGTAACTTACACATTTTATTTATGATCATTGGCACATGACACTTACCTTTTGAAGAGGACACCAACCATTACTTCTCGTCGCTGTAGTATCAGTTACAAGCATCCACACTATCGCCAGGATTCTGGGGAATGTGGTGTGAGGTTCCCCCATCATCATTGTGGGTGTCTTTACTAATGAGTCTAGATCAGGCTCCGCGTCCAACATTGAGGTTTCCACTATCATTCTCGCTCGGACGAGGACTTGAATTAATTCGGGAACTAGTATGCCGTCATCTCCTTCTAGATTCCTTTAAACATGTATTCAAAGTACAGAATGGTATTACCAACGCTACGCGAATTTAAAAAAAAAATCTTGCCGTTTATTTTAGTTCAGTTTACGTTTTAAAAATGGTCAATACTTCAAAATTATACGTGGAAGAACGTATAAACATAACATAAACACTCACGCCTGTCACACAGAGGGGTAGGCAGAGACTACAGACTTCCATTTAGGACGATCTTGACATACCTTTCTCGCTTCTTCCACATCCATATACCTACGCGTACATGCTCGTCGGTTAAGGGTACTCTTAATTTGGCCCATTTTTAGTATATCGCCAATTAGGTTGACAAACTTTCGCCTAGGACGTCCCTTTCCGACTCTTTCATCCACTTCTGCAACATATATTTGCTTTGTCAGTCTTTCCTCATTCATTCTTTCTACATGACCAAACCACCGAAGCATTCCTTTCTTAATCTTGGTCACCGCATCATCTTGCAAATCACACTCTTCTTTTATCACACAGTTTCTCACCCTATCACTCAGATTCAGCCCTAACATACTCCTCAGCGACCGCATTTCTACTGCATTTATTCTGCTCTCGTGCTTTTTCTGCCACACCCAACTTTCACTACCATACATTAAAGTAGGGACTTATACAGCATTGTGAATAAATACGTATAAACAATAATTGCAAATGATGATGCTGATCCATGCAATTTCCCCATACCATCCACACCATCTCGATGGTTGGTGGTCTATCCCTGTGCGATTTACTAGGAGTTTTTTTCCTCACACGACTTATTTGTGCAATCGCTTACTACCTACGATTTTTCCGGGCCGATCCGACATAGGGACTTACTCTCTTTTGAAAGGCCGGTAACACATCTGCAATACCACTGGTATTGCAGTTGTTCGTAGGGCGGTCGACAGTGTTTTTTTTAATATAGAATAAAGATGACAAAAGAGCCCACAGTTCACTTTCTCTACACTTACAATATTTACTTCACCCAAAATACGCTCTATCTAAATTTTAGGTTACAGAAGATTTTTCTTTAGTTGCCACTCATGGTAAGAGGGGACTTGAGTTGTTATCAGAAAGATTCTTCCGCTTTCCACCTGTTTCGTATTCCCTCTATCGCCTCGTAAGAAACCCACAGTACTGGTGCAGTAGATATTCTTACACCGCCACTACACAGCTATTAAAAAATATATAAAAACATACTTTAGCAGTTCCAACATCAACTTAGCAACCCTCCCCGGCGATGGCTTTGGATAGTCGATACACTCGGTTGTTATAACCCTGGCTGATGCGGAAGGTTCGGTCTCGTAGGCCGCCACTAGCTCACGTTGCCTCGAGTCCTCTGCCGCCAACCAGTCAAGCGTCAGAGCCGATCGATACGCTTGTATCCCGGATAACGTTGTACGGGTTACATTCCCTGGAGCGTAGTAATAATCTTCGGCGTAAACCTATTCGATGAAATATTTTCTAATTAATCCATTCATCCTCTATAAAAGATGTAAGAGGCATAACCGACAGCTTTAGGTGATTTCCGAAAAACGGGGGTGAAAAACTAACAACACGGGTTTTAGTAATACATAAGTGATAAATAAGTGAGGTGGGATTTATTTAGGGGTGTTATATTTTAGGGTTTGTTTTTAGGGATTAACTTCTTACTTTTATTTTGATTACGAAAAATGAGGGTGTAAAAATTAGGGCCTGGAGTAATATTTAATCTAGCCAATCACAATTAGTTATTGATCTAGCAGCTTAGCGACATCTAGTACGATTCGTCATTACTAAGTATGCGAAGTGGAATGAAAAACAAATGTCACCACAGTGTTTACCATAAATATAAACACATAGGGTGCGATATGCTACAACCAAGGTTACTAAAATACCCTACTTACCTATTAATAATCTTGATTACAACTACGCTGTGGTAAAGGAAAACATCTTGTGGAAACCTGCATGTGTGAGAAATAAGAAAAAAAATCGCACATGTGTTCGATTTTTCGCCAACACGCATTGAGGCAGCGCGGCGGACACTTGTTAGCCCAAATAACCCTCTCAGAAATGAGGGGAGGCCTGTGCCTGTAACCTGTACCTTTAACTTTTAACTTTAACTGCTGTGTCAAATGATCAAAAAGAGTTATTCGTCTAAATATGACTTTAAATTATGGAATGTAGAAGTAAGGAGTACCAACTCCCATAGGAAAATAGTTGAAAAAGTGTCCATCTGTAAGCAGCACAACAGCGCTCGAGTAGCTACGGGGTATGTTAAATCGCCGTTAGATATGTTGAGAGTGATTTTGAAAATAAAACTTTTGAAAGCAATAAAATAATTATTGTAAAAAGAGTTATGGTTAAAGTCTGTGCAATAAAAAAATTATAAAAAGTTCCTTAAAATTTAGACTGTAGCTACAGTGGCGCCACCCTTATTTAACGCTTTCCTACGGACACTTATACAGAGTCTGTACTCCTTACTTCTACACTCAATACTTTAAGCCGAATATGTCGCGTTACGTAGAACTGTTAGGGCCGATCCTCATTATAATGTCGTTCACAGTTCGTTCTCGGTCCGATCTCGGTCTGATAAATTATTATCAAGTAAATAAGTATATGTGTAAATAAGAATACCATTCCAATGATATAATAAATCAGACCGAGAAGGGACCGAGAACGAACTGTGAACAGCAAATGAAGATCGGCCCTTATTTATTCTGTGGTCGCGTAATAGAGTAATAAAGAAATCACTTCCCATCTCTTTGAACACTTTAACCTCATAATGTAAGTTACGTCCTAAAATATATAAAAGATAAGTACAAAAGTTGAATGATATACGTCGCTTCAGATTCAAATTATATTACTTTATAAAACTTTTTCTATTCTATTTGCCTCGCGAAAACGAAACGAGAGCGCAAATGAGTTTTTGATGTTTTATATTTAAATTGAAACGAAATTACAACAGTACCTTATTACTAAATACTAGTATAAGAGGTCTTTATAAAAATAGTCCCTGCTTAAGTCACTTTTAAAAAGAAAATTGCTATCGTCATCTTTTGACCTTTAGAATAATATACTAGCTGTGCCCCGCGGTTTCACCCGTGTATCGTCTGAGCAGCGCTTATTTTTCTAAAAGTGTATGTTATTGGTCTGCGCCCTTTACATCTTTATCGAAATAGACTCGGAAGCGAGGACTTATGAGCTATTGAGTGTGAAGATTCTGCCGACTGCAGAAGGGAAATGAAGAAGGGAAATGCAGTGTAAACTAAAAACGTCCCGTATCCTTCCCGTAGAGGTATTAAACCTCGTGTAGGGTGTGTGTCTGTGACCTTGTGTTTTGTACTATGTCAGAATGTGTGTGTGCGGTCGCGTTAATGGATCGGATTCCCTCTCCGGGAGAGGGCAGGGGTTAGAGATCAAATTATTTTAAGTAGTGATGATTGTGACCGATGATAAGCATCGGAATCGAGAAGAAGATTCTTTGGACGTCCCATAGGGGTGGACAGCTCCCTCTCTGGGGAGTACTCATCTCTACCAACAACGGATTAGAGAGTTCTTTGACCGAATTGAAGTATCTTAAGGATAATTCCTTAAGATACGAATAGATTGTGGACATATCGAGATCGCGGTGGAGATTTGCGTTTCTCATATAAAAGGAGCTCTTGCGATGATGCAGGTATTTATTTTGGATAACTTGAAGTTTCCAAAGACGTTTGAATTTTGAAGGACTGTTGTTGTCTGTTATTGTGCGTTGTTGAACGTTGAAGGACCTGAGACGCGCGACAAGGCATCTCGCTTTTATAGGCGTTTACTGTTGATTTGTCTCGGTGCTCATCAGGCTGCTAGGATTTATGCGACGTTCGCGCGCCGAGTCGTTTGTTGAATTATTTTAAATTTTAAAGCTATGCGTCTGAATAAAATTCTATAAAGAGCTAAATTTATCTTCATAAAAATGTCCTGATAATGAAGTAACTTTCGTCCGTAAGGATTGATATGCCATGCCTAATAATAACGCTCATAAATCACTTTTTAATTTTCAATAATTTTTTGTCACAAAATACCTTATTGTGGCTTATGTATAAGAAATACGCATATGGCATCGCAGAGTTTTTTTAGATGAAGGAAAGATCAATCTTGTTGTTTAACATTGTAACAAAATTAAATTAACCTCGCCGCCAGCGTACACGGATAAAGCAGTTCGGAAGCGCTTTTCCTACTGACTTGCTTAACAAAAATCAACATTTAAGGCTAGCTGAAAGGTGTATCCTAATGCTAGATAACTATTCCTCACAATACACTCGACGAATTTACTAAAAGATTTTTTTCAATTCGGACTGATAGCTCCAGAGATTAGCGTGTTTAAACAAACAAAAAAATCTTCTGTTTTATAATATTAAGTATAGATGTATAGATTTTTTTTTAAATATCGTTACCTTGACACTAGGATTGTCTCCTGTATCGTGGAGGCAGCCTACATACATACTCGTAAATTTCACAAGGACAAACATCCAGACCCGGAACAATTATTTGTACGTCATACAAATACTTGTTCCGTGAGGAATTCAAACCCGCGGCCCTTATGGCTACAACTCATTGCTAAATCACTGCGCAACGGAGCCGTATATTCTTTCCTATAGTCAGAAATTCAATTTTTTTAATTTGATTTTTAATCAACATTTGTCGGTTATTTTAAGAAAGGGCTTAATACTAATTCTAGTTACACGCATTGTTCTAGGATTATCTTCTAAGCGTCTACTTCAGTCTATGAACACATGTCACTAAAAGGCCGGCAACGCACCTGCGATTCCCCTGGTGTTGCGGTTGATAATGTGCGGCGGTAGTCACTTAGCATCAGGTGAACCATATGCTCGTTTGCCCCCTCTCCTATAAAATAAAATAAATAAATACATGTAGCCAACTTCAAACAATTTAGGTTACAGATGGGTCGTCACCTCAGAGGACTAAGATGGAATGCCTCCAGTCTGTAATTATACTGGTATAGAGAATACCTTTCAGACTGAAATACAGCAGTCCAAGTAATAATATTAGGGAGCTTAAGTCACGGAAGTGATGACGTAGTGTTCCAATTTGCTGATTATGTCATTTATATATATTAATAATTTGATTATTTAAATGGAATACCGGCGTAAAATAGCAGCGTAATGTTGTTGTGTTTCGTATGGTGAATGTAAAGAACCGGAGACCCTTTTTGCTGGAATCGAGGCATTCCATTTTAGTCCAAGGGGTGACAACGCATGTGCATTTTGATCCTCAATTGAGGATAAATGTGGATTGTCTATGTGCCACAGCATCCACTTACTATCAGGTGGAATGCGTGCTCTATAAAAAATATTTAAAATATTTAAAAAATAATACCAACTGCATTTATCATCGGATTTCATAGAAATTTATACAAGCCCACTTTGAGAGTATGCTCTTCGTGTCAAAAAAAACTCATATAACCTCAATTTATGTATTTGTCAGCGTGAGCACTTGAGATGAAAATTAACAGACTTTATAACTAAATATTTCTAAATATAAAAAAATCAAAACTTATATTTAAAAACCAAAAACAAAAATATAAAGGGAACATTAACATGATAAAAGAATAAAGCAGTGCTGACTTTAGCAAAAGGGTAGTCTTTGGACAAATTCCGCTCGTAAAAATGTTTAATGACCTATCTCGAAAACAAAGTATAAGCGGCGAAAGGCTTTATTACAAGAATATATATTTCGGTTGCGAAATTTGTGAGCAGCAGCAAACTTAACTTTAAGACATTTTTTAAAATTTCACAAATATCATGTAAATTATATAATCTAACCTAAAATGCTAGGCTTTAAAATTGGTGTTACCGCTACAGCTTATTAAAGTTTACTGCTGGGCATACATAAGCTTACTCCTTCATAGACTGCCTCATGACAACCGCAGTTTTTCTTTAGTCGTTGTAAAGAAGAGGCTGCATCTTCAGATTTGTTTCTTTCTATGACCTGTTACGACATCCACGGGATGATATGGGGTAGTGGATATTCTTACACCGTTACGCACGCTACGCGTTGTTGCATCATTTTTTTTAAACGGACATGTTTATTGCCACGTGGTGGGGGCTTTTGAGAATTACGTCTTAAAAAAAATTACGTCTTATGGCTTTTGATCGATAATGGTACAACCATATCATTTACAGACGTAAAATGTCAAGACCAACGACGAGCAAAAGCTATTTCTATTTTTAATATAACTGAATCTCAAGCTGAAAGCTCTCAAGTCACATTTTTTCCAACATGCTTTTTTTGCTGAAAATGGTTTCTTAAAAGAAGATGCGTATTCTAGGTAAAAACCATGTGAGTCAATACATTCCTTCCTCTTCAAATAATACCGTGTGAAAGACGTTCATTGCATAAACAAGATTAGTCAGTGACTTAAAAGATTTTTGCACGTGGTCATTCGTTTTTACCAAATGACCGTTATTTCGGAGTCATAAAAAATGTTCGAAAGGATGATCATATCTACGTTCCAGATGGATACATTGATCTGGTTTCGAGTCCCAGCTCAACATTCACAGTCATAAAGCAAACAACTCAAGATGTTTTGGAATTTAAGAAATAGTGGTGAAATTTGTACAAAAAAAATGTGTGTCAACTGAATCTTATGGAAAAAATCCCTAAAGAACAGAAACAATCATTCCAACCTTTGACATACGTGAGTTTTCAGTATGATTCGGATAGAAAAGGTACCACTGATTAAACATTCATTCTTATTAATAAAAAAACTTACAACTTCTCCAAAGCTAATGATTTAAAAGTGCCCTTCAATAAAAAAAACTAGACGTTTTAAAAGCAAGTTCAGGATTCTAGAAAGGCATATGCTATTTTATAACAACATTTTAAGCTGGCCAACTGTAAATGTTGTAAATAATCCAGAAGAGAATGATGGAGAATATGACTATATACGGAGAATATACCTTAAAGATATTAAGACAAATTAATACAACATGTATGGTCATTATAAATGTTAATAAGGTTATTTTTAAGTGTAATTTTCAATAATAAGCAATAAAAAATACGGTTACTACGATTGATTTGGTATACACACTAACCCTACTTCTTGCTAAAACAACATACATCAAAAACAGTTTTTCAGGTTTCTTTCATTATTTTTATTAATAAACTGTTACGGTTATTCACTTTTTAATTTTTTTACCACTCAAATACTAAAGTTATTATTATATATATTTTATATTATTATTAAGCATAAAAAAGTGCTTTAAAACTCGTTTGTTTCTGCATGAAACAGTTGTTATTGATTCCTGAAAAATTCTAATTGACTTATGAGGTTTTTGAAATACCAATTCAACTGTAGAATGGGGTAATTAATTAAAGGTAACAGTAGAATACCACTCTATGGACCTCATAACGTGGAAATACGAAATCGTAAACATTCGAATTCATTACAATAACTTACAAATGAGAAGGTTTTTATAGGAGTAAAGATAAAAAAAGCAAAGGTCCATCTAATGATAAGTAGATGGTCCACAGACACCTAAATCATCAAGTAAGAATTAAAAATGTAGATGCGTCACCAATGTCATCCTTGTGGACTGAAATCACATGCCTCGTTACCATTTAAAAGGGTCTCCTCTCCTGTTCTCTACACTTACCATACGAAACACAGCAACATTATGCTGGTATTTTTAGAGTATGTGATCCTTCGACTGTCAAAACGATCCATTCCTGATGCAGCCATAATGCAGCTACAGCCAGGCTTTGCCGCGCACATTAGCGTGTAGTTACAACACAAGTGGTAAAATTAAAAATTTTGTACAACCAACTTCAATACGACTGAACCAATATATTCGAAGTCAATTAAATACGCAGTATTAAGGATAACTCAAAAACTACAGGTCAGATCTTGATTAAATTCATATGGGACTACACGAGAAGCACCGGCTTTCAGATAAAAAAATAAATATTAAAATTGGTTCACCCAGAGAAAAGTTATGAGATAACACACATTAAAAAAATTTAATAAACATACAGTCTAATTTTAAGCCAGAAATAACGATGTTTTGCACTTAACAGTTAACGGCCTTACTCACAAAAATCGACGTCAATTTAAGAAACGATTAAAGTGGCTCTATATGTCTTTCTATTCACTAAATTACAATAGAAAGAGACTTATAGATACTTCTTAATTTACGTAAGCATTATCGAACGATTATAAGGCCATAAGCGTTACGTAAAATAGACACAGCTATGTCCCCAGTGACGAACAGTTTGTCAAATATTAATTGTTATAATTATGCGCTCGTAACGGGACAGTTATTAATGTGACGAATGCGTAGCCTAATATATACTATTACGTCTCGGATTCCAGGTTCGAATCTCAGTCGGAACATTTGTGGAAAACCATGGCGTAACAACTTGCCCTACGATGAAGACGACTTTCGGTTTTTTCATGATCACTCTATATGTACTCGTATAATACTAGTCTCAGTAACGTGAAGTAACCTAACCTAGTAACGAGAAGTAACGTGAAGAATTCAATGGACAGCGAAGTTTCAGGTAGTTAATTATGCCGTTGGTTTCCATAAATTTCTGATTTTTAATTTTTGATCTCAGAATAACGTAATAAGATTACCACTGATAAAATTTCCATAAGAATCATAGAACTCTACCCTTTTTTACATGAGTAATGCCTACGCATACCCGCCTCGAGGGGGCATGGACGGGATGTCCAACTCGCATACTGGCAGGGTCACGGGAACGCACATCCGTGACCTCACCAACGCCGGCCACCCCGGGGCGACCCATTTTCGGGGGAGCTCTACTTCTCCCCCTTCGCTTTCTTAAGTTAGGTGCACTAGAACATAAGCCGCGTCTTCCAACTTCACCTGCGCAATGGACACCCCCGTGTCCGATGCTTGGAGGCCATGAAGCCAGAAAAAACGAGCAATTGCAAACACTAGCCTTCCTAATCTTAGTGCGGACCTGGTAGAGTCACAGAGTAGTGCGAGTGGCGCATTGCAATACCTAGTCTCTCCTAAATCCTCTTTGCGCATGACACCACCTGCTTGCAATACCTCCTCCAGCTGCGACGGAAAATGAGAGAGGACACCAATCCCGCAACAGCCCACCAAAACGCATTCGGAGCTTGCTAGGCAAGCCCACTGGGAGCGGCCACATCACGCCAGCTAAGCAGGCTCCTCTTTGTTCACTGTAGATGACCAAGCCACCCGCTACAAGTCGGAAACCGTTCGGGGAGACGCAGAAATTTACTCAAAAATCGCTTTTAATTTTAGGACGATATTTTTTTACGCAATAAAAACTAAACACGTCATTTTTGGGATGGCCCCCATTAATTAGATATGAGAGTCAGGTACATTAAGACTTCTACAATACACTGCGAAATGGCGTCATGCGACATGTTTATTAAGCTGAGAATTAAACTACCGTTGACTAATCGGCAGCTCTTTACATTAAATGTGTTCTATTACAAAATGATAATGTGTGCGTTGTTGTATTTTTGCTTATTTATAGTATGTGCAGTAGTGTGACGTATATAAATCTATACGTTATATATACATACTAATGGACACAGGTCTCCACTCATTTCTGAGTGGGTTATGGAGCATTGGTCCGCTCATAATCCACCCCGCTGCAATGCTGACGAACTTCAAGTCTTCGAAATCTGTTTTTTAAGAATGCATATTGCTCATAGCGAGAGCTAAGCTTCCACGGTTCTTTGTTTTATTACGAACGCGATTTATTTATTTAATGCAGGTTAAGCTTATAATAGATGACTAGAGCTAATAATTGACAAATACATATTTTAAAAAAATGTACATACCGCCACGCATGTGAAAAGGATGGGCAAAGCTATGAAAATCATTTTCAGAACTTAAAATTTGGCTAAATGTAATAAATTCATTCTGACATCTTGCCTGTTGTCAAATCCGAATAAACCAAAGAGCATAATTTGCGCGTAATAATTAAAGAGTAATTGTGTTTTTTACACGTTAGCCAATAAAAACTGAAAAATGTGAGAAGACGTATTTTAAACTCCTTAACACCGACTTACAAATACTTTTAAGAGCCACACAGGGATATTTTTAGAAGTATAGCGGAACGAACTTACAAATAGTTATTTTATTTTATTTAATAGAATAAAGATGACCAACCAGCACACAATCCACCTGATGATAAGTGGATGCTGTAGCCCATATTCATCTACATTTATTCTCGATTAAGAATCAAAATGCAGATACTTTGTCACCCCTGAGTACTAACATGGAAATGGAATCCTTGTATCCAGTAAAAAGGGTCTCCGGTTCTCTACACTCATCGTAAAAAACACAGCAACATTAAATTGCTATTTTACGCTGGTATTCTGTGAGAACGTGGTCCTACCCGGGTAGAGATGACCTATTCGTGCTAGATAGAAGTCTCAATTGAGAGATATATTATTTTTAACTTCCCGCTATGAAAATCAATGATTTTCAAAAAATCGGGTAGCTATTGGTTTCCCCAGTTTTCGAAAATCGAGGTTTTATCCGATCTCGACGATTTGAGGTTCTAGGAAGCTATTCCAACTATTCCTACTAGAATGTCACTGCGTGCGTGCGTGCTTTTCTTTACATAAATTTATTTTCATTGACGAATATTTTTTATAATTTATATTATTGATCTTAAAATACCTCGTCGATTGCCACCAATTACGTCTAGATTGGTTGATCTGTTCGGAAGTAATCCTTTTTTTATATAATAAGGGTACCAAGCGAGCACACACTCTACCTGATGGTAAATGGTTGATGTGGCTCATACACATCTACATCTATCATCGTTTGCGAATCAAAATGCAAATGCGTTGTCAGCCGTGAAGACTAAGATGGAATGAACATTTTACAGTAAAAACGGTCTCCTGTTCTCTACACTCATCACACGCTGGTATACTGTGAGAGCGTGGTCCTTGCCCAGTCGAGCCGACCCATACGTGTTGCAACTATACTATTACTAGCTTTTGCTCGCGACTTCTTCCGCGTAGATGAAAATGGTTCTAAAAGGATTTTTAATTGCTTTTTTTACGTTATTAATTTTGTTATAACATGTAAATTATTATGTTAAAATGTTTGAATACTTATAAAATATAACAATCCCTATTATAGTGTAGAGGTTTAAAGGTTAAATAAACATGAATATAAAATAAAATACCTATTGTTTTATATTGTGAACATGAAGCTTGGCCTTTGCTCTGGTGAAAGTGATACGGAGGTATTATCTTTTTACAACGAAATCGAAATGCTAGACCATCAATATTTTTTTATTTTTCCTTCGAGTGCTAGAATCACCAGGCTACTATGTGCGCTTACTCTGGAGCATGCCACATATAACTTACCGTGGGAGAAGCAGCTTTCTCTCAAGTCTACTCCTGCTATCTTAAGAGTTTGACCTTGAGCTTTGTTTATGGTTATGGCGAAGCCGACTTTAATAAGAAACTGCACTCTTTTGAATTCGAGTGTTTATCACTGAGTCGACGGATTCATATTGATATTCGACCCCTGCGAATGTTCTCAAAAGTATTTCATTTATGACTGAGGCTTGTTCGTTTTTGGTGTTAAGATGGCACGCATAACCCGCGGTTAATCGTTAATGTTTGGGTAAATTTTAACTATGAGCTCTTCTACAGTGGAAACCATTGTACTTAATTCTGTCGGGAGAATTATATTATTATCCAGTTCCGGGAAACACCATTTCCTATTTTAAGCAACAGGTCTGTCTGGCAGTAACATCTCCCCTATGATGGTCTCTCATAGTTTTGGTAAGGCTCAGTTTTAGCACTGAAGGCCACAAATGGGACCACTTCACGTACGCTTTAACTTCGTCCGCTTGCATTCCTCTGGGCACTATTGGTAAAGTCTGATGTAAATCGCCTGCTAACAATACTGTTACAAGCTTGAGGTTCGTGACAATAAAAGCTGCCGATAGAATTACCAAAATTAACACTTTAATTCACTTTACACTAATTAAACTTAAAATACTAATAATTAATCACACTGATTCACTTTATTTCGCTCCGAAGCTTCGCTTGTCTCGCCAAATTCAATACTTCCTCGATCGCACCTTACAG